ACGCGCGTACCCGCGCGTCACGTTCATTCCGAGACCACACGGCCGGGGCATGCATTGCATAACAGCTTGACCAATTCAAAAGTCGATTTTCAAAAAATAACACCTGATTTTCCAAAAAGCACCCAGCGAGCAATGCTCTGCAAACTGCATTACATTGTTTTGCACGTGCGCGCGAGCGTGAACGTGCAAAACAATGTAATTTATGCGCAACATACGCGGGTGGGACATCTTTAGAGGTGACACCAGGAAGTTGAGTCGGTCTGGCTGACGTCTCTGCAAGAGACGCGTACGACCTGACAATCCAACGGGCACAAAATGGCGGAAAAGTACTGCTTCGATGTCTTTGATCAGTACTCTTCTATATGACGTGCACATACGATCATATCCATACACATAGATGCAAATAGACCTCTCGCAACAAACTATACAGTTTATTCGAATGAAAATGACGAATCAGATGTTTACGAAAGGACGTAGTGAGCCGGCCGAGAATTACATTTTAGGCTCTGGCGCCATCTCATGGAAAGTGAGGGAAACCCTACTAACACAATTCTCAAGCTTTGATAGTATTGGTGAGCCGCCGGTGATGTGATTTGTGCAGAAATTGAGAAAAATGCACGATAAAACACCGGGTTTACAGTCTATTGAAAATTGGAATTTATAATGGCCGTCAATGTGTCATTTTTTGGATTTATACTTTATGCAGTGGCAAAATTTGTCACGATGTCATATATACCCACTATAATGTTCAAAAATGTCCCGCTTGCGGTCATTTTGAACTTTGACCCCTTTTGACATCCTATGCAAAATTTCAGCTTCGTGGAGTTATTTTTCACACTTTTGGCTGTGTGTACAACTGTCCAACTGTCCAAAAAAGACCAATTTGGGACAGATACTGCATATGGGTTAATCTGGATTGTTACTCATGAACGTTGATACAAACATGCATGAAAAATTATGGTTATTATAATTGGATATTGTATTGTTCAATTTTTTTCTCAGAGTAAAAAAAATCTATTTTATTTTAAAGCCGGACTAAAACATGAGGAGGTACACGCGCTTTTTGACAGACTTTTGAAGAACTAAACCATGATCTGCATTGGAGATACAAGGTCTACACACTGCTGTTCAAAGGTCAGGTTTTTGTGATATACTGTAAATTAACGAGACCATGATAAATCATTTCTAAACGTTTTTCCACAATTAATATGACCTATTACCTGTACAACTCATCATATTTCACTCTTTGGGTCATCCGAAGTTGGGTCACGGGAAAGAGAAGACCCGGTACACCTCATTTTGACCGCTTGTATCTGGGATCTTATTGTTTTAGTCACGACCCCTAGGTCGGGACCATACATGAGGGTAAGAATGTAGATCGACCGGTAAATCGAGAGCTTCGCTTTCCAGCTCAGCTCCCTTTTTACGACGGGGGGGGGGCGATACAGAGTCCAGATTACCAGTGTTGTTCTCGTCCACAATGTAACGAAATGATTTAATTAACGCCCCTTGTTTTCATGATGATGAAAAGACGATGACGAGCTAAACGTGGCTTCTTTGATGACAAAAATATGTCGTGACGTATGTGAGCTTTCCTTGACGAGATGAGACTGGATGAAAATTGTTAGCGTGTGGTCTGTCAGATGTTCAAAATATATGACATCTCTTCCGATTGTAATCTGTCTGTCAAAAAATATCAGCAATGCTTCTGCAACCTATCCTTGTTTGGTCACGCCCATCACCTGGCCGACACACAGTGCACATGCACACACTGGCACAACACAGCACGTCTGCGGTCAATCGTCACACACACGGACACACTTTCCATTGATGGATCATGCTGGCAGAGTCAACTAAGGGGTTTGATGGTCGGAAACGAAGAAAAGATATCTGGAGTGACTTTCTGTACAACCCAGCTGAAAGAACAACACAATGCATTGTAAATGGTGGTAACGGTAAATGTGGCCACAAACTAGGTCGGGGGTCGGAAACATGCGGCTCTCGAGCCGCATGCAGCTCTTTAGCACATCCCAGTGGCTCCCCACTGGAGCTTTTTCAAAAATGTTTGAAAATGGAAAAAGATGGGGGAGGGAAATATATTTATTTGTTTCAATATGGTTTCTATAAGAGGACAAACACGACACAAACATTTATTAACATTTTCCAATGCTGTAAAAATGTGTCATAAATATTACATTTCAACATTTCGTCAACGAGGGTTTGCGTCATAGCCTGCAACACACATTTCTATTTGCAGGGTGGGATGTCAGTCAGGAGGCTGTAGTAAAAAACAACAGAACAAAACAAACAAAAAAAAAAAACAGCCTTTCTTGTACAACTTATCGAGGGTACTTGCAAAAAATGGGAATCTGGGCAGCCGAGAGAAGCATTTTTAAACGGTACACGTGAGCTACGATAGTTAGCACGCTGCGAAAGTGCATCCGTGGATCATTTATTTTATGGCTGTTGCTCATTACGGCATGGGTATGTAAGTGTGTGCGTGTGCGCGCGCATGTGGTAATGGGTCGATCGTGGGAGGTTGGTTGATCGAAAAGTAGATCTTACGTCAAAAAAGGTTGGACACCCCTGCTCTACAGAATGAACTGCAGGGGGAAAAACATTTAATCATGAATGCTTGTGTATTTTTAGCCAACTTAGTCATGTTGATAGTAGGCTAATATCGCTAATACAGATACATAAAGCATGTGTTGAGTTCATGATAAGGCTTTTAATTTTTTGCGGCTCCAGACATTAGTTTTTTTTTGGGGGGGGGGGGTTGGTCCAATATGGCTCTTTCAAAATTTTGCGTTGCCGACCCCCGAACTAGATAGAAAGAATACTACGAATCACAAGCGGCATCTGAAGGCCCACCACATAGATATTTTTTCGCAGCTAAGGAGCAACTAGTCCTGTTAATATACCATACTGTAACTGAAACCATTTGCTCGCATTCCATGTTACTCGAGAGTAGGCTTGTAAGAAATTTCATTGTAAAATTCATTGTAAACTTCATTGTTAAGTTTTCCACATAACTCCTGGCGCAAATGGCCTATCTTAAGGTTTAAGTTATTTTGGTTGAGCTAACGTTATGGCTAACATCATTTTATTAGCTTGTTGTGT